GCCGGGCCGGCTGCCGGGTAGAAGCGAAGCGGGTGCCCGTCGGCATGACAATAACACCAGACGCTTGTGCTTGAGTGTTTGGCAGGCTGCGCGTGTGTGTGTGTATACGGCTGGAGAGCAAGAACAGCCTGCATCGCCTCTTTAGAGCTAATAATAGGCGGTGTCAGTTCCCTGGCTCTGGGTAGCGTTGTGTGCTCGTCTGCAATCGGACACGGTGAGAGTCTAGTAATTTAATAAATGCTGAAGATGCTCAGCGTAAAGACAACTAAGCGAAACACGGAGAGCATTAGTTAGTAAGGAAGTTACAGTTGAGAACTAAGCATCATTCTTATCATTCTTTTGCAGATTATGACGTTATTGTTACATATTTTCTCAAAAAGGCCTGGAGCAGAAGCAAGTCTTCACCAGAATTTTTTTTCAGTCACCTATGAAGCGCCAGATTTTAAGGTTGTGCCTCTGCAATGAAGAAAAGGAGACGGCTCGCTGCAAATCTAAATGAGAAGGTTCATCTTGGCCATGAGAGGGTTACTTCAGATCAGGTTCTTGTAGTAGACTGTGAGCGAGAAATTGTCTCAAAGCCTGCAGAAATAGCTCCTGCAGATCACTTTGAATCTTCCCAAGAACTTTCACCATCATCAGAACAAAGAAAGCTCCTGAGTTCACTGCAGTATAACAAAAATCTACTTAAGTATTTAAATGATGATAGACAGAAGCATCCATCATTTTGTGATTTGCTCATAATTGTAGAAGGAAAAGAATTTAGCGCTCACAAAGTTGTGGTGGCTGTTGGAAGTAGTTATTTTCATGCCTGTTTGAGCAAAAATCCAAGCACTGATGTTGTCACATTAGATCACGTAACTCATTCTGTCTTTCAGCATTTACTTGAGTTTCTGTACACCTCTGAGTTTTTTGTATATAAAAATGAAATTCCATTAGTGCTGGAAGCAGCAAAATTTTTAGATATCATTGATGCAGTCAAGTTACTAAATAACGAAAGTGTTTCTAACATACAGTCTGAAGCGTTAAGTGATGCCCCAACACCAGTAGAAACACTCAATGAATTGACTGGTAAACTGTTAAATAGTCACCAGTGCAGTTTTTGTGGCCGAAGCTTCTGTTACAAGAAGTCCTTAGAAAATCACTTGGCTAGAGCTCACAAATCCCTTTCACTAGAAAGAAAACATGGGTTAAAAATGGTTGAGAAGGCTGGCTTTTCCGCTAGGCGATCTACGAGAAATCGTAAATGTCCAGCCAAGTTTGATAACAGTGACAATGAAAGTGGTGACGTATCTGACAGCAATTTGGAAAAAGTCAGTTCCGATAAGGAAACATCTGATAAAAGCGAATCTGAGGACAGTGGAAGTGAATGTGATGCTGATGAAGAAGGACAGGAAGAGGAGGTAACAGGTGAAGATTCCGAGACTGAAGAGCAAAGTGAAAAGGAGCATAATGATACTGAAGAGGGTTCTGAGGCTGTTGACTCGGTGGGAAATATTCCTGAAGGCTTAGCTCCAGTAATTATTCAAAGCAGTAGCAAAAAACTACTGCAGTGTCCCAAGTGTGACAAAAAATTTGATCGAATAGGTAAGAGCAAGTGAGGCTGATCTCTTTTCTTTTTGCCATATGGTGGTGCTATTTGTATGGGAAATAAAATGAGTAGTTTCTCTTTTCTATAGAATGAAAATTAGAATTTCTATTTTTTTCCCCTCAACCCAGTATACCAGTTTTTCTAAGTGTATAAACTATTATTTTTGTGGTGTTAATCAATGTGAATAAATGAACTGACTAATTACGTTCTATAAAAATCTGCAAATACCAAGTTTATCTCATTTTTGTTACTCTGGATTCTGATTGTTAGAATGGTATATGAAAGCAGCCTTGAAAAGACAGGGAAGTGTAGCAAGATATGAAAATATAAAGTAAACTGCTTGCAATCTGAAGTCTGTCTTGTGTTTTCTGCTAAATTCACTTCAAGAAACTAGGCTCTAATTTATTATTGGTGTACAAAAACACATTAATATCACAGCCTGAAATTCTTCTATTCTACATGATGCATAGCTGCTTAGGACCTAGTCACTCTGACCACTAGCTTGATTTTCATGGTTTATGGTTAACACCAAGTAATACCTTGGCAACTTAATCTGATTTATTAGGATAGTGTTTGTTACAGTCAAATCTAGGTGTGATAGTTACTCCGAATATCAGAAGAGTCAAAGTTCCGGTCTTGGCTCATCCAAAGCTTTCCTGTCCTCTGTTCCCATATTAAAGGTCAAATGCAACTGGATTCCAGAATTAGTATTTTTGTTTTCTTTCAACTGGAATGATAAATAAACATTGAATCATGGTTGTATAAGGTATTAACTCGCTTTTGCTCAGGGGAATTGGGAAAGAAATTGTTCCTTACAGTGTTAGGCTATTTTTTTTGCTATTCTTTAATAACAGAGTCATTGTATCGTTCATCATTTTGAAATTTTTTAGAGTTTATAAAAATGATGTGCATGCTAATTCCTACTAACATATTCCATTTAGCTTGCTGTTGTTCAAACAGTGGTTTAATATGAACATGGAAGCAATTTTTATTTTCCTGTTTGTTGCAAAAAACTTGACTATAACAAATATGTTATATTTATGAGTTATTTTAGCTTTTCTATACTGCTCTTCATTTTTAAAGCGCTTGACAAGCATTAACTAGTTGAGCTTAAGAACAGCCTGAGAAGGTAGTGTTATCAGCATTTAACAGATGGGGATACTGAGGCTGAGGTGAAATGAATTGTCCAAGGTCACTGATTTATATAATAGTAACTGTGCAACACAAAAAAGATGAGACTTACTTATAATGCCGTATCTTAAATAAACATAGAAATTTTGCTGAATTTGAGGACTTTGTCTCTAATATTGAAAACCTACTGTACATAAGTGGCTTGTAAAGATTTAGGATCCTAATGGTATGTTTTGATCTTGTGCACGCTGGAAGTGCTTTTCTCTTTGCACTTTCACGACTTCTCGTTCTAGTTTTTGTGCTCAAAAACCACAGGAGTGGCATTAAATCAAATGATGCCTGAAGCGAGTTTCATGAACTTACATTGCTGTAAAGAGTCAGTTTGTGTTTTATATTTTACACCTATGGTACTTTTTCCGTTATCTAAACTCCTAGAAATATGATACATATTATGCAGGGAAACATAGGTAGATCCTCAGTGTAGGACTGAGTTCCATCCTTGGAAAAGACAACGATAAGCAGAAGGGAGCATACAAGCAGTGTGAAAGACTTGGGAGAAGAGTTTTTTTGTTTATGGTAATACCTTCGTCCCAAGTACGGAACACTTACAAGGGTCCATATCATTCACTGAGTCTTTTGTTATTTGAAAGAACCTTGCTTAAAAATATCACTTTGTTACCTGACTGTTCCTTGTTCTGAAGAGATACTTCATAAATCAGTGTAATGAAAAAGTGGTATATCTTTCAGTACTTCCGGACAGATCATGCAGTAGGGACAAGGGGGACTCGTAACCTTAGCATAGGTTTAACAGTGATACAGAAATATTTTATTTTTACTCTTTATCTTAAAAATAGTTAAGATGGAAGTTTTTAGATGAACCTTAGGTAAAATGCATGTATAATCACTGTGTAGTTTTTATTTGCAAATCAGTAAACCAGTAGAAATCTTTAGATGTGTGGGGAAGGTACTTAACGCTGATCACACTTGAGGGCATATGGAATGAACGCTGAACCCCTACATATTCTAGGTGATACCTGTTATGGTTTGTGCTAATAGAGTTGTTTTTTTTAATTATATTTTGTAGGCAAATATGAGAGCCATACACGTGTACACACGGGTGAGAAGCCTTTTGAGTGTGATATATGCCATCAGCGCTATTCAACCAAGTCCAACCTGACAGTGCACAGAAAGAAACACTCTAGTGACACTGACTTTCATAAAAAGGAGCACAAGTGTCCCTACTGCAATAAGCTGCATGCAAGTAAGAAGACTTTAGCAAAACATGTTAAGAGGCAAGTACGAGTACATTTGTCTCATATGTCTAAAGAAACATTTTCCCAGTTCAAAAGCTAAGATAAATATATGCATGTGCGCCCACACAAGCAAACTTTCTGCTTTATTTCTCAAAGTGGATTTTAAAATAAAGACTCTTTTTGAAGAACACAAGGATTAGCAGTAGCAGCTTACCTACTATGCAGAGTGCATAGAAATTGACTGAATAACAACTGCAAAGCAGTTCTATCGTGGTAGCTCTGTCATAGTTTTTGCTATAGATGTTTGCATGTCGTGTTGAGCACAACAGCCTTAGTAAGCATCTGTGTTTTCTAATTTGGAGGAAGAATGAAAGATCTTACCTGTTTTTAGATGTTGATGCTATACTGGCGACAATAACAGATGAATAAACTGTTTCCATGCAGATTCCTTTTGTTTGTAACAAGTCTAACTGTAAGGTACTA